TCTACTTCCGCGTTTGTCACCGTGGAGTTTAACCACGACTCTGACAAGGCTAAAATATCATAGTTCCTATCCTTCATAAGTTCTCGAACCTGTATAAGATGATTCCTATTCTTAATTGAGCGAACATTTAGGAGGGCAATTCTAAGTTTCGATCTTTGCATATCCGAAAGCGGTTTTGGAACATGTTCTTTTGTTATCGCAGTTAGGGTCTTTTCCCTAGAGTTTACAATTTGAATATTTACTAGGTTCGAAAAATTTGGTCCATTTTGAGTCATATTCTGTTTCTTTTGCCAAAGAGTATGTCTATTATTGGTACTATGTTGGAGTTTGGTAACATATCTGTTGGTAATTCTCAAAGGAATGGGACAACTTAGTACTGTAGATGGTCGGTTGAATTCCAAATATATAGACTCGTTATTTAAACAAGTAGTAGTTGGGCCAAAAGGGTTAGGGTTCGGATGAGTGTTAGAGGTATACAGGGAAGAGGTCACACAATTCAATGTATGGGAGGTTTTGTCATTATTGACATGAGTGGTGGGGGGTCTTGTCAGTAGGGGCATATGTGGAGGTACATACGGGTACGGAAACGGCTGAGACAGGGGATAAAACCATGGGAAACGAATCGGGGGGAAATAATTTGGGTGGTACGGAAAAGGAAAAGGAAATTGGTTATTACTGTTTTGTGGCATGTTAGCAGGGGGAGATCTTTCACCACGCTTCTGTGGAGATGACTTTCCGCGTGTTCCAGGTAAGACATTCTCATGTAAGAAGTCACATTTGTGTCCCTTTAAACAATATCCCCGTCTTTTCAGAAACGGGCATGCCACTAGAGCTTTTTTCGTTTTGACTGTGTTGGCAGGATCAATGTTATTTTTGTTCGGGTCGCGATTATGGTAGTTTTGAGTTGGATTTTGTTTGGGAGATGGATTTTCAATGGTGATTAAACTTGCATTATTTTCCTTCGACTTAGCTGATGTTTTAGATATAGTCGATGGGATTTCAGTGATACTTTGATTTGCATAATTTAGTTCTAGATTATCCAGTTGTACGCTGTTACAGGATGACCTTCCGGTTGAGATGTTGGTTGTATTTATCGTAGGACCATGATCGCTTCTGGCGATTGGGCTTGCATTATTGCCATTCATATTAAGTGGCGTTTTGACTGCTGATGGACTATTAATTGGACTTGGATTGTTTGTGTTTAAATTATGCAGTTTCACACTGCTAATGGGTGTCATTACACTTGGAGTATTAGTTGAATTAGTTGCCGGCCCACGATCATTGTTCTCCTGGTTATTGCCTGTTAATCTAAACACTAGATTTTCAAAGGACACAAGTTTCGATTTAAAAACTGAATTTTCCTCGCTAAGTTTATGAATCATTTCTTCTTGATGCTGTATAGTGGCTTCCATATTTTCTTGTTTAGCTTTAAGCAAGTTAGTGTTCGAAGCATTTTGCGAAATTACCTCGGGTAATAATTTGCCTTCCAAAATTGCTATGTCTAATTTAATACCTTCAAGTTCAGTTGTTAGGCTCCGGTTTATACATTCACAGTCATAGTTACATACCTTAGCTAAGGCATCACTTGCTTCGCTTTTATTTATTGATGGACTTGACTCTGGTGATTCGCTATTACCAGACATATTTAGGGTCACGTTGTCCGTAGCTTTGACAATTGTCAACTGAGATGTCTTACTTCGTGTCACGGAGCACCCATAATCGTTATCTGTACCTTCGACATTTGTCAACTGGGGAGTTAATGGGTTCCCACTGCCTATATCAAGTCGCTGCTGGATGGCCTGTTTGTTTTTTCCTTAGATCTTCAGTTCTTTATTGTCTTGATTCCATTTTATTGAGACCAATTCGCCCCAGAACCGCTTCACATCACCGCCTGGCGAAGACCATTGCCCAGATAGATTTAATTCGTCTTTAACCAGTACTTTTAGCTGAGATAAATCGCCCGTCCACATAAACTCTGAATTTTTGACAAACAGACAATCATAGAGACTAGTAGTAGACATTTTCAACGGGATTTGTAACGTAAAATTTGGAATATATCACGGAGCAACTTAAGATACGTCTTATCTTGCATGCCTCTGCAAGTCTGTTTGTTTTAGTCTGTTTGTTTTACACACAGGAAAGTTAAACATGCGTCTGTTCCTTAGTCCAATATCAGTTTCGTTTAGTTTCTGCACCAGATAATGCAGTTTATGGTTGGGATCAGAACATATCTCTTCAAAGAGTTTATTCGTTAGGTATTCTCTTCTTTCGTATAAAGAAAATAAGTTACTGTTCTTCAGTGCGTCCTGATAATTAATGTTTGGGAATATGATTTGCATTGCGCGTTTTTGGATACGTTCTAATTCATGTGACAAATACGTGGGTAATCCGTTGTGGAAAACAGGACAGGCGTATTCGGTTATAGGACGAATACAAGTCTTGTAGAAAGTTAAAAGTTCCTTTTCGGCAACTTTGGCACGTTTTAGTTGCCTCAGGAAATACAACCGGGTGGAAACTTTTTTAGCAATTTCCTCTATATGATGGTTCCGTTTAAGATTATTGGAAATGTTCAGACCCAGTAATTTGATGGTAGTCACAATTTCTATTGGTTTATCATTGATAACAATAGGTGCGTATTCAGGGTGATTTTTTGTAAAAGAAATCCGAAGCTCTTTGCATTTCTTCTCATTAAACTGGAATTTGTTCCTATACGTTTTTTCCGTTAGTTAATTTACTATATTCTGGATCTTACTTGTCTCTCCTTTTTCTACCATCTCAGCGGCTGTGGTATCTTCCACATATTTCCACAAGTCGGTATTGGTGGTGTCTATATCGTCAATCATCAACACGAACAACCAAGGCCCTAACTTTGTTCCTTGGGGAACTCCTGGCGGCACATTTTCCATTCCGATTTACAGTCCTGTGACAATTTTGCGGCATTTCAGGAAATCAACGATCCAACTGACGATATTATGGTCGATATTTAGATCTTTTAGCTTTCGAACCAATATATTGTGATCGATTAGGTCGAAAGCTTTCCTGAAATCGAAAACAACCACTCTGACTGTAGAGCCAGTTCCGTCCGTATACTTGCCCCATGTGTGTATCATGCTGATCAAAGCTTGGGTTGTCGATGATTTCGGAATTGAGCCAAATTGGTTACTTTTAATCTTTTTTAAAACCGCCGGTTTGACATATTCTTGTATGATGAACTACTCAGCAACTTTAGAAAGTATTGGCGTGAGGGAAATTGGTCTTAAGTGTTTGCTGACGTCTTTTACTATTCTTTGTTTCGGTACTGGAACTATATCCGCTTCTTTCCATGATGGTGGTAACCTACTTTCGCGGAAAGAGCTGTTTATAATTTCTGCTTTGGGTTCTGCAAGAAGGTCTGCATTCTCCTTCAGTAGCCAGGCTGGGAGGCCATCTGCACCTTGAGCTTTTGTTGGATTCAACAACGACAACTTCATAAAAAGAGAGTGAACGGATAAAACAAATGGTGCGGATGAAGGGATATCTTGGTCGAGTTGAAAATCGTGTGGAAGAGGTGAGAAAATCTTCATCTGAAGAATAAAAGCATCATTAACTATATTAGCTAGGTCAGATGTGCTTGAGACCTCTTCTATGAATTGGAGAGAGTTCATTACATCATTTTGTCTCCCAGATGCAGAAGACATGCTGCTTAACTTTTTAATTTCTTTCCACCACTTTGCTGGTTTACAGTCTTTTAAATGTTCAACTTTTGCTTCATAGTACTTTGATCGGCATACTTTTCTTTCTCGATTCACACAATTTCTTAGGCGTTGAAATTCAATTAAGTTCCCTTGACTAAGGACTCGCTGGCGTTGCTTGATTAATTTTTTTAAGGTTGAATTAATCCATGGGGGCTCATTTAGATGGATAGTTCTAGTTCTTAGGGGAACTACTTGGTCTAAACCGTTCTTTAGGATTGATTGAAAAATCTCTAATTTTTTAGCGCACGTATCTTTGGTTTTAACTAAGGCAGCAACATCTATTTCTTGAAAGTATGTGTGCATAGCCAAACGATTACTTGGACGCAAGTCCCTTGATTTAATTGTTAATCGCTGCTTCGGTTGTTGAGAACGTATTTTTGGCTGAAGATCATATCAATTCATATACTGACCCCGTAGCTGATCAAATACCTAGAACAAATAATATCCCAGTTTGGACAACTAGACGGCAAATTAACTTACATAATCGTTTAACAGTACCCCCTGCATACACAAACGAAAGGTTCGTAACCACGAAAAATTTGATAAAAATTCCTATATTGAAGCATAAAAATTGGAGACTAGGTTGCCCAAAAGCCCGAAGATACCCACTATCATTTCTCCTTTAAAATGTCAGATCACTTCTGCCGAAAGTTGATGAATTAGATGCTATTCTTAAATTAAATCATGCCAGTTTGGCTTTTATCACAGAAACATGGCTAAACGAAAACATTGACGACGCCATAGTCCAAATACATGGCTACTCCTTGATACGTCGTGATAGAAAACCTAGGACTGGAGGAGGGGTGTGTGCTTATATAAAGTCACAGATCCCCTTTAAAATTCTAACTTGTTTGCAAGATGTTTGTTTCGAAACTCTGTGGCTTTACCTGAGACCTCACAAACTGTTCCGAGGATTCTCATGTTTGGTGATTTTTGTGGTTTACCACCCACCATCCAGCGACAACAACACACTAATCGAACACCTTACCATACAGCTTGATGTTGCCCTCTCCATGTACCCAAATGCTGGCATAATATTAGTTGGGGATTTTAACAAATGTCCAGTTTCCACAATACTAAGACATTTTACTTTAAAACAGATTGTTAAACAAACTACGAGAGGGAATGCTATTTTGGATTTAATTTTGACAAACATGTCAGACTTTTGTAACATCCCCTTGGTAATCCCACCCGTTGGGCGCAGCGACCACAATTCAGTGTTATGCTCATATAAGGAAGGTTCAACTAAAAACGCCCAAACGAAAGTAAAAATCAGACAGGGAAATAATGCTGCAAAAACTGCTTTTGGAAGGTGGTTAACCGATTTTAATTGGAACATTTTATACCGCACTATTTCTTGTGAACAAAAATTAGACCTCTTCCAAGACATCATAAATGCCGGATTAGATTGTTTCCTTCCGATAAAAACTGTAAAATTACATGACAATGACAAACCTTGGGTAACTCCTGAATTTAAGAAAATTATCGGAACCAGACAAAAGGCATTCCATCATGGAAAAAGTCCACATGATCAGCAGTTACGAAATCAGGTAAACAGAGAAAGTAAGAAGCTCAGATCCACATTTCTTGAGAAAAAGTTAGAACAGTTAAAGCTAAACCCTAACCCAAAAAAGTGGTGGCAATCAATAAAAGAGTTATCAGGATATCCTAAGAAGAAAGTTCTTTCAACTCTTGTCGGGTGAAATCAGGTGATGTCAGGAAAAGCCCTGGCCGAAAATATTAATGACGCTTTTGTTTCAGTTACCAAAGAAATCCCTCCTTTAAATCGTCTTCATATCGACATTTTACCAGAAAACAGCCATTATCACATTTCACCAGAGTTTATCATTAAAGAAGAAGAGATATACCATAAATTATCCATTATATCAACTGCTACATCTCCTGGTCCAGATGGAATACCAAACTGGGTTCTGAAGTTCTACGCTTATGTACTTGCTTCCCCTGTTGCATCAATTTTTAATGCTTCCATCCAACAAGCGACTGTTCCGACCATGTGGAAAAAAGCCAATGTCATCCCAATTCCAAAAATAGCTTCGCCTGAGGACATCACCAAAGATCTTCGCCCCATTTCGCTTACACCTACCCTGTCTAAAACCTGTGAACAGTTTGTTACCGATTGGCTACTTGAGTATATAAAGGAAAAGATTGATAGACGACAATTTGGTTCCTTAAAAAACTCCTCGACAACTCATGCCCTATTAAGCTTCGTTCATCACCTGTTATATGAAACTGATACATCAAAAACCGCTGGAAGGGTTTTTTTGCTCGATTTTTCGAAAGCCTTTCGATCTTATAGACCACAACATCCTACTGTACAAGTTATATGAAATGAAGGTACCAGCGACAATTACACTGAACTTTTCGAACGCAAACAACGCATCAAGATAGCTAACTGTATCAAATTGGCAAACCTTAAACGGAGGTGTGCCACAAGGAACAGTTCTTGGGCCAATACTTTTTCTCGTTATGATAAACGACCTTCTCACAGACTGGAATAACAGATGGAAATACGTCGACGATAGTACTATCACTGAAAGTATTACACCGGACACCAACAGCATTCTCCAAGAACTTGTGGATACTATTTACAATTGGACCACCGTTAATATAATATGAAACTGAACATCAGTAAATGCAAAGAATTGATAATAGACTTTGCAAAAGATAAACAGGAATTCCCACCTTTAATTATAAATAGCGTTGCTGTAGACCGTGTATCATCAGCCGGGTTCTGGGACTAATTGTTCAGGATAATATGAAGTGGAACGAACACGTAAACAATGTTGTCAAAAAAGCAGGAAAAAGACTCTACATGCTGAGAGTGCTGAAACGATCAAACGCGGATACGAACATGTTAATCACTGTGTACACCACTATTATTAGGCCTGTCCTTGAATACGCCTGCCAAGTCTGGCATTTCAACATTCAAGAGTATTTGAGCGAAGACATCGATTTCAAAAGAAATTAATAACACAGAACACAAATATGAGCCCTCCAATTATCGAGCTTGCTACGGCACTGCTATCTGTAGTTAATATTGGCATATCTTCGGCGTAGAGTTTGCATGGTATGCACCCTGGCTTTTGAAGGGAGGTCCAAATCCGCCAACGGGGAGTCCGTATTTAGTAGTAGATTCGGACCGCCGACCGGGGGAGGTCCATATCCACTAGTAGATTAGACCCGGGGACCAAATCCACAAGTGGATATGGACTGGGGATCCAAATCAACTATCAACTGGGACAGGCCATTTACTATTTGATCAACCGTGACCACTGCCGGTCATACAGTCACTTCGTTAACTTTAAGTCACTTTTAACATACATTTGTCGTGGTGTTGCAGCTGAGGTGCTTAACTTTTCTCCACAGATTGTACAACTATGAGCAAAAATAAATCCTGAAATTCGCCTCCATCTTGGATTTGACCGCGAAGTGAACTGGAACCTAGTCACAGACCTAGTGGTTATTTCATCACTGTTCACAATCTCGTTCCCCAAGCCTGCGATCCTCGGGAAGGAACGCGAGGCTCTGGGATAATCCGTTGCCGGAAACCAGGAATTCTGGCCAAGATTGAACTACGCATTCCATTTCAACGGCCAATCAGATTCTTCCCTGAAACGGATTATCCCAGAGCTTCGCGTTCCTTCCTGAGGATCGCAGGCTTGGGGAACGAGATTGCACTGTTCAGATCACTGTTATAATGTTTCTGGTAACCTGCAATCAGGCCTAATACTCGGAAGGATTATTGCGCTGGCCCAGTGGCGCCAATATTGGTCCCATGTTTTTTTGTTTTTTTGTTGTTTTTTTTTTGGGGGGGCAGTACTTTTCCGACAAACCAAAATATTTTTCCGACAAACCAAAAAATTTTCCGGACGACAACATTTTAAAATCTTCTCCCCCCTCGTCGACAACTTTGACAATTTCCGACAACAATGACAATTTTCCGACGGGTCCCCCCCTGCCCCCTCCCCCGGCCAGCCCGGCCGCTGGCCTTAGAGCACTGATATACAGAGTGACAAAATCACAAAACGTAACAAAGCAATGGTTTTACTAACACTAACCCTACTCCAAACACCAACTCTAACCCTAATCCTTACCCTAACCTGACCTATGACCTGACCCTATGCCAAATTTGTTTCTACTAACCAATCTTGAAGAAAAAGTTTTGGCGAAATGTCATTCTGAGGTCAGCGAAATAGTTGATACCTTTTAGACTCAGGTTATTTCACCGGAAGACTTCCGACGGAAAAATTCCTAGTTCTTAGTTTTATCAGTTGACAGGGGCGTCGCTAGATCTCTTTGAATGGGGGGGTGTAAGTAAAGTTGCCGAGTTATCGAACCGCCGAACAGATGCGTAGAAAACTTGCTAGTTTGTAACCGGCTGTGTATTAGGAAAATGCAAATTCTATGCAAATAACATTTAAATTTAAATTAAACCTGGTTCAAACAATTCCTAGCCATGGGGAGGCACTCTACAGTAAATTCTTTAAGCCAACGTCAAAACACAAACAGTTCTGTTAAAATGTGGACTTGACGAATCACTCAATTCTCACAATGACAATATACTATTTTTTTGTCGTTCTGATCTCTTTGAACGTTTTCCTGTTTCTGGACAGCATTGAATCAATTGAATCAAGGTTATGTGGCGCCTCAAACTGTACTGAGAAATGTTGCCTTGGTTCAAATTTTTACCCACTGTGTCGAACAAGTTGCGAAGGATTGATTTGTATGTACAACGAAAATTGTGACGGTGGTTTTTGCTGTGTACGCCAATGTGTAAAAAATTCGTTGGCCTGTCAAGACATTTTGCCGACTCAAAGTCGAAGATCAGGTGATGATGATAAAAGTGGTGATTTTGCGACATGGGAATTTGCTTTGATTGTTCTGGCCAGTGTAATTGCTGGAATTTTGTTGTGCATTCTGGTTATATGGGGATGTAGAGCGTTCATCTCGAGGATTTGAAAGTCAGTATATTCTCTGGCCGTTTTATTGATATTAATTTAAAGTTTTCAGTAAATAGTTGCGTCTTTGCACAGTTGACTATCGGAGATGATTTCGAAGCGTTGAACAATATACTGGAATGTGAAATCGTTAATGAAAATTTTATATTAAGAACGGATAAAATTCGACAAACCATGCCTTAACTGATCACAAATTACTTGAAATTATTAAATGTTTTTCTTATTCCCGGCAACTACTCGGTACTTACAGACTACGTCATGTTAAGTGTCTCATTGTAATATAGTCTGGAAGAAATGTAATGTAAGTTAATTTTAGTTTTAGAACAATGAAACTACCTATTGGAAGATCGCATTAAAAATATCAGTGATTATGACTGAAGCCTGGAGTCAAACGAAAATGAGAGTGCATGAGAGAGTGAACTAGAGTTGGTAGTCACGCGACCTTGGTTAGCTGTTCTTAATGCTTTCCCATGTATTCTATTGAAGTTAAAACATAGTTGGAACACTTATCAGTTATAAAACCTTTATTTTGTCAATCTAGAGCTTGAAATGCCCCCGTAACAATACGTCACTGCCAACCCCTTTCAACATTCTTATCATGTTGATTTTGATAAAGAGTTGATGAGAGTTTTCGCTACGAGGTCGGTAATATCCAGTCAATTGTCAACTCTCGCGCAACTCTTGTTCTCGTTTGACCGGGGCATGAGAGCTGAGAAAACTCTCATGCAACTGACTCTCGCATCTCAACTCTCATCGCTTAAGCTATTAATCGTGACTAAGCCTCGATAACTTATTAACTTATTTATAAAAATGTGAGCTAGTGTCCAACGTTGGCGTCTCCGCGTCTGCGATAAATATAAAACCTTGTGCAAAATTTCTCAGCAGCCACTCAATCAGAAAAAAAGATGTAGTTTTTGACGACGTTTCGAACTATACGAACTCTATTTTCTAAAAGGAGTATACTGCTTCATACTGACTTCATGCTACACAGGGGAACAACAGCTCTATCACTTGGTCTAAACTGCTTTCCTTATAGGTCCAGTACGGATTGTCCTTATCAGTAAGATCCAGTAACAGTGTGACTACACGTGGACTGGAGTATTTGTAGAAAACCTTGCGGTGTTTTGGTAGAGGAAAACTGAGAATACTCTATTTTATATAACAGTTCCCCACATTCTAATCAGACGACCACTTAATGCGGGAATCGAAACCATGTTATCAGACTATCAGACATTCAATCAGAGGTGAAATGCACATACACTATAACCATTGTGTTAGCAACAGAGCTAACAGTCGGTGGCATCCGATACTAATTAATCATCACAATTAATTACACGCTTGAAAAATATTCAGCAACAACTCAAGTTCGTTTCAGCGCGAATAAAAGCCCGCTGTCCGGATCGGAGACGACGTACGGAGAGGATATATTAGAGTGCACGAGAGTTGGCAGTGACGCGAGCTTGGTTTCCCAACACTATCATGTACTCAATTTAAAGCTAAAACATAGCTGGAACATATATCAGTTATCAAACCTTTATTTTGTTAATCTAGAGCTTGAAATGTTTCCTGTAACAATTCGTAACTGTCAACTCTCATTAACTCTTATCCTCGTTTGACCGGGGCAAAGCCAGGGATTGCCTGGAAAAGGGATTGCCAGGGATTGCTTAGAAACCTTCTCAGTGCACAAAAAATCTCATAAAATAGCAGCCGGCACGTCACACAGCGAAGGAGCGCTATAAGTACAGCTCTCCACATTTATAAGTAATTATCCAGTGCTGTACTGGGAAATCCAAAACAGAAAAATTTACGAATTTGTAAATGGGAACCTAAGAAAAGGGACCCAAGTAGATAATGGGGAATTGCAAAAGACAGAACTTTTCGGGGGTCCTTCTCCAGAAAATTTCGTACTTTTTAGCCTCCAGAGGGCTTGCATTTACATTTTTCAGACACTATATAAAGTTCAATATAAAATTTGAAAATTTAATGAAAACCAGCATAACTTATTGTCTTCTAAATACTAACTTCTCGACGAAGGGCCTTCGCTCGAAACGTCGAAGTTCCGTTGCTTATACTCAGTTAAGGTAGTTACATCGCTCTCAATCAGTCCGATCTGCAGCTGTCCGTAGTTTATGTTTTATCTTGTGGTAACAATGTCAACAGTGGAAGAATAAAGGACAGCTTTACCACAAATGGTTACGTATCACACACAGGGGCGTAGGAACTGGGGGGGCAGGAGGGGGGCCCAAGTTTTGGCAAGTGCCCTTTTTCCGGGAGCAGAGTGAAAAATTTTCATTAAAATTGCATTTTATGCCCAAAGAGCACTTTTGAAAACTGCAAATCTATGTTATTTCCGGCAAAATGTTTTAATTCATTTCCGGGAAAAATACCATATATCCGGAAAATTTTTTGGTATGTTCGGAAAATTTTTTTTTGGTATGTCTGGAAAATTTTTGACTCCTAAAATGGTACACTGACCGAAAATTTTTTGGCGGCGACGGGGGTGTCGCCAAAAAAATTTTAGATGCCCTTTTTTTTCGAGAAATGCCCCTCAAAGCCTGCCCCCCAACTTTTCGAAGCTTCCTACCACCTGATCACACATTATGTTTAAATTGTCCAAAAGCACGATATATAATCACTGATAATTAGTAAACCGACGAAACATCGAAGTTCTGCTTCAGTAGTTGTAGCTCTCTCAGACTCTCAATTATGAAACATCATCGTAATTCATAAACTAAGATATTAACACGCTTTCGTTGGTAGGAATGCAACTACCTGAACTGAATATAACGAGAATGTCGACGTTTCGAGCGAAGGCCCTTCGTCTGGAGTAACTCATTAACTCCAGACGTAACAGAGTAACTCCAGACACCTTCGCTCCAATTGCGTCGAAATTCTCCTTATATTTTTCAGGTAGTTGCACCCGGCTCTACCACCTACAAGTTTATGAACAGGGTGTTAGCCAGAAGTAAAAAAAAATCCGCGTTTACCTGAAATTGGGAAATTTATTTTAGCCTGAAGCCGGGCATTTCTTTGTAGGTCTGGGGGTATGCGGTTGCCCCCTCTGATTTTTTAAATTTTTGTGTCTTTGAAATGGCATTTCCCGCATTTGGGGACTAATTTTGAGCAAATGTAGTTATAAACATGTTTTTAACTATTTTTTGGCTGACCCAAATTGGGAAATTGCGACCTCAAGGTAATTGGGAACACCGCGTTTAACGCGGAATTTTTGACTGTAGCTAATACCCTGATAAACTAAAATAACCTCTTTCATATTGGATAGCTCTACGGTCATTCGTTCTATGACACTGTGGTTCTATCCAAACTGTTCTCCCTAGATGTCCAGTAACGACCATTTTGGCGCAGTCATTGTTACAACAGCGGGAAACCGGAATAGGTGGTGAAAACCTGCAGTGTTTATGAATAGAATGAAACAGAAAGCACGCTTCTGAAGCAAAGTTATGCCGGATAAGGTTGGAAGAATGATGCTTATGGTAGAAATCGAACATGCACTGTGATCAATATTTAACTGAGAAATATAGTTCAATTTATCAACACCCATGAAATGGCCACCATATTGTTTTTTACTGTACACAATATTTATGCTTACATGAAAAACCATATATTCGAGCTGTATTTTTTTTCGAATCTCCCCCCGGGAAAGGCGAATCTTAATTCGAAGCTCCGCCCCCTCCCCCGGTTTCAGCCTGATGGCACATGGCATATTCCGTTTGAGTGAAAAAATTTAAGTTTTGTACACAAACGTCGCTTTTCTATGAAATATGGGAGCTTATTTGGCAAAACCAGTGACTACGAAGCAATCTTTTGATGATGCTAAAGGCAAACTTTCTTGTGGTGGCTCAGAAATGCAAGGCTGGCGAGTTTCAATGGAGGTTAGTCCGTTGTTTAGTATCAATGGCGAAATTTCATAATTTCCTAGTATCCCACAGTATGTATATGTTTGAACGTTAACTTTATAAACAGCAGATGATGACCAACTTTAGAAAATATGCTGGCATTTATAGAAGCAAGAAAACTGAACTCGATATTAATATACTACATCTCTCTATTTATTTGTCTCCAAATTAAGTAGAATGCTGCTCTTTATTTTCACTATATTTGGGCATCATCAAATCAAGTTGAAAAAATTTTAAGAAAAAATATGCTAAGTCGATGTTAAAAACACAACCCGACCCCGCCTGGGTTTCACTTTCCGCACGTAGCGCCTTTGCTGATGCGCTAATGGCAAGCTTGATAAAAATAGTGCAAACAAATGTTTTTATATGTACAGTAACTATTATAGTCATTATATAGCTGGCAGTTTACTAGATAGCCGGCTGCCAGTCATCTAGTCACTTTGCATGATGCAGGCTAGCCCAGCTAGCAAGAAATTCCTGTATTTTATTTCACACAATATTATTTTATATTGATATTGAAAAAAAATATTGGTAATATCGACTATATCGATTTATGCAAATGAGAAAACATAATTCAGTCAACTTGTGTGTATATGCATCACAAACAGTTAAAAACCAGTCATGGTACGTCTCAAAGATTTATTAACAACAGTTTATGTTGTCTACGTTAATACGTCCTAGTGCACGCACGTTGTCTAAACTTCGCTGGTGAAAACAATAATCAGTGATTAAGTTGTTAGTTACAACTTTCGATATTTTCCATATTCGAAAAATCGAATATCGATATTTTTGAAATATCAATCGATATTTATCGAAAATATCGGATATATCGCAACTGCCTATTCCTAACTTGTTTTGACCTTTTAGATTTATATAAGGAGTAAAGCATGTGCTGTAATACAATTTCCAGTGTGGTTTGCCTGGCTGGCCTGCTTTGTGCATTCATATGAGCCTGGGAAGCCAGGATCTCACCATGCTCAAGCAAGAGCCTAGCAAACCAGGCTGGCCCAGTTCCCATATAAATAAAATCTTGCAACATAGAATTAATATATGAGGTGCGTTTGCAGGTCTCTTGGAATAAGAAATGTTTGGTATAAATTTCTTTGCTCTTATTTCCTATTGGATAGTGCTGAAAATTTCAAGCTCAGCTGGTAAATGTCTTTCCAAAAATTGAAAATGACAATTTTTTCTGTTTAAATAGTAATGTAATGTTGTTTAGCAAGTGAATGAACCAGCTCTTGCAATCTGTTATCCACTGCATAGCTAGCGCTTGTCCCTTTGAAGAGTAAAATCGTCTGGTATTATACAGAGTAAAATAATAAAGTAGGCCACATTAGGGTGTAATGCAACTCAATAGCTTAACTAATCTGACATTAGACAGAGTAAAATAATAGCATTAGGGCACTGTGCAACTTAATGAACTAAACATGAAATGATGGTTTCACCAGCTGTGTGCACTTAAACAGATGGCTATTTTATTTTGTTTTTTTCCTGTGGCGTAGCCAGGCTCTAAAATTTGGAGGGGCCAAAATTTTCATGGCATTTCGAATGCGAGCGCCATAGGCTCAAGGACTAGTCTTCCAGCTGATCTGACATTGTACGTCTCAATATCCATATTTAGAAGCAGTCTACATAGATATTACAAAGAAAAATTACCATTTTACTGCCCGTCTGGCTCTGTTGACACACACATTTGTTAGATTACCAGATAATTTAATGAATTGATGTGGTTACTGTATATTTGCCATAGTTTTGGGACGCAAGGCCTGTTCCTTTCTCCAGTCGCATGTTATCTGTAAGAATGTATAATGTCTCAAGTGTCTGTATTGCTTGCTTGTACGTATGTAAATTGTGACAAATTCATTAAATTAAGGACTCTAGGGGGTCTGGGCACAGACTTCCATTCCCTGGGAAAATTTTGAATTTCCAGATTCCACATTTTTTAGGACTGTCAG